TAGAGTAAAGTGTGCAACGGGTGACTGTCCAGCAGAGTTCATTAAGTCGCTATCAAGGGTGATAAAATCTTTCATAGTAAGGAGTTATGAACAATTTGTTAGTATATCTAAATTATATACAAAAACATCTTGTGATGACACAAGGAAATGTTTATAAGTTGTTTAGGGTGATGAAGAGTGTGATTACTCTTTTTGATGGTGATATATGCAATGTGATTGAGCTTGATTTTATGTACTCATTTTTTGTACGTGCGTTTATTATGTTTAGGGATTAACCCCCTACATGTGTGTATTGGGTTTGTTTAGATTCACGCCAAAGGGTAGTATGATGCTCTTAAACATTGATTGTGGGTTGGGAGGGGGCTATGTTAAACGTGTGAAAGAATTGAGAAATTCTTGATAAACTTGACTTCTCTTTATACTTGAGATTCTTAGTTAATAATGGCAATGGATATGTTATCTATTTATTATAGCATGATGAATTGTTTAAAGAAAGGGGTCTATGAGATGAAGGTTATCTATGTGATGTTACCACCTTTCGATATATGTTGCCTGGGAGGCAGAATGGTTATTTCTTTGTAAGATAGTAGGGCAACGAAAAAAGATTCCATGTTAAAGTTACAGGATAATGAATAATATATTCTTGCAGAAGAACTTATCATACTCTGCTAATTTCAAACGAGAACTAGAAATGTGCCAAGACGAGAATGCCATAAATAAAACCCATAGGTCCTAGGACCACAACTAGAACATGCAATTTTTCTAGAACATACAACTCTATGACATGTCCTAATTAATTTCTTAGAATGAGGATCTTGCACGATACAACCAATGGAGAAAAAATGAAAAATGAGACCAACATCACAAAGTTGACTAACAGAAATTAAGTTCAAAGATAATTAAGGAATAAAATAAACATCAAAAAGAGATAAAAGTGAAGTCATAATAGATCTGACGCCTGCCAATGACATTCGAGTACCATTAGCAACCATAACAGTAGTAGAGGAGCGAAGAGATGAAGTAAAAAGAAACAAAGATGGATCATTAGTCATGTGATGTGTCGCACTAAATCAAATACCCAAGTAAACAAGATATACCTGAAATAGTCGACGAAGACAAACCTATAGGAGAATGAACATATAAAGCATCCACATATGATGTAATTGCTTAATTCCCACTTACCATAATCATATGTACAATCACAGTGGCCAATCTTAATCACAGATTAAAGTAACTTGAAAATTTGAGATTGATGCTGAAAATGGAGAAAATTACGAGGCTGATTCTGTAATTTTCAGAAAATTCTGAGCTATTTTTTGTAATTTTTAAAAATTTGGGGGCTGTTTCTTTAATTTCAGAATATCCTGGGAGCAGGTTCTGTAAATTCTGCACATTCTGGGGCAAATTATGTAATTTCAGAACATCTAACCAAAACCCTAGCAGCATACACCGTTCACCGTAACAAAAACACTATTTCACGAACACTGTACATGATCACTGTTCATATGCACTGTTCACTGTTCATGTACTTCATGCTAATTTCAACTAAAATCCAAGAAAGAGAGAAGAAACCTTACTCTGATACCATAAAAACATAGACCAATTAGTGTAAAGAAAAGAGTTCACACGTAGAGAAGATAGAGAAAAAAATCATATGCTGCACGAATATTCATAATTATGAAAAGTGAGTACCAGAGACAATATACAAGGAACCCTACAATAAGGAAAAGATTAGACTACCCTTAATGATAAATAAATATAATTACACTCTGAACACTATTAAACTAAGCAACCAAGGCATAACCCGGGCATTCTCCACTGTCCACTACTAAAGGAAGAGCCTGACTCACGAGGCATCTTAGTCTCCTTTATCAACTGCCAATCCAAAGAGATAGCCTAGACTAATAAGAACCAAGCTCATGATCATGCTAAATAATTACTTACATCCAACTTCTCTAAACAAATTCGAAGAGATGGGATTTATTCGCAAGTGTTCTTAGATGTCTCAACGACTTCCTAGGATAGCGCAAAAATGGCAAATAGTCAAAAGAAATTACAGTCCGAAAATGCAAAAATACCTAAGAACTTAAGGAGTGTTAATCCAACAAGGCGAAAATGCCCAAAAACATAAAATTAGGGGTGTTAATCGAGATCCAAGCTTAAGTTCGGCCCGACTGTGAAGAGGCTTGTATGGAGTCGGCTCGGGCTCGACCACCGAGCCTAAATTTTCATTCAAACTCGCATTGATAAGAGCTCGTGAGCTTTCGAGCCTTAGCTCGAGCCAAAACTGAGTTCACTTTCTTCTCAAAAAATTATACCCTAGATCATTCAACTTAAGAGTAAAAACCTTCAAATAAAAGCCTAAAATACTCAAAACCAAAGCCCCGGGTGAGAGAGTCTCAAAGGAAAAAGATTAATTTCAATGGTGTTGGTGTTGACACTTATCAAAGACAGTGGTGGTGATGATGGTGGTCTTGTTCAGTTTCATGGCCAATTTTCAAGAGACAATGGTGGCAGAGCAAATCTAAAGGGTAGGGAACTGCAAGTCGCATTTATGTAAACAGATCTGGAACAAAAAAAATAGACAAGGCAGAGAAGAGGGGAGTGAGAAAACCCACGAGACTTGTGAACCATAGCTAAGAGAGAGGGGAAGGCCAATCTGAAACCAAAAGGAGGAGAGATAAACAAAGTGAGAGAAATCACAAGACAAAAGAGGGAGAAGATCTGAGATACATTAAATGAGTAGGTGTGTAATAGTCAAAGTGTGCGTCTTCTGAAGACAAAAAGGGACAAATGAATGTCTTAGCTGGTAGGTATTTAACGTACTAAAAAGCGGCTCTGGCCTGACTCAGTTTGGCTCGTATAAAAAACGAGCTTAAACAATGATCAGATTTGGCTCATATCATAATACAAGTGAGTTTGTGGAGCCAAAAATTAGCCAAGCCAGAGTAGCTCAAATCGTTTAACAGCCCAACATATAATGCAAGCCTCCAAGGACATACTACCCATCTACATTACCAAAAACCAAGGAATATGCAATCTAATGGTCAAAATAATAGTTCACCACCAAAGTACAGACTGTTGAGCCTCAAATCTAACTATAAACCATGCTAAACCTGATCAAATATCGTCCAAACTCACTAAGCACTAATCAAGTAGTCAAAGTGCTCTTAAATGGCCATACTACATGTTCAGCTCACAAAAGACCGAAAATCACTTGAAATTCAAAGAATATGATTGAATGTTTCAAAAAAATTATGGAAAAATAACATAATTACTAGAAAATATTGACAAATCAAACCATTAAATTTTAAACCAAATATGATCAAGTCAATGATGATATCAGCATACCGTGAAGCCTTTCTAACTAGCTCCTATGAGCTTTTATGTCTTAGGTTTCAATTGGCACTCGGATACTAAGTTAGATTTGGACCATTTGGAAGTTACAGAGTGTGGAAGAGAAGATAAAGGTTTGACAAAGAAAAGAGAGGAAGAAAAGGAATCTTCAAAGAGTAATGTATTACGTCACATACTACACTCTTGGATTCACATATAAGTATAAAGCTTATATAAGAGTACAGAAGTACCTCTAAATCAAAATAATACGCCACGATATTGAGAAATTAGAAATGCAAGAGCGAATGGTTTAGAAGTCAAAATTTGAACTCCGGTTATAGTTGTCCGAGGGCCCAATCTCCCAGTCTCCCACTCTCTCTTTCTTCCCCCCCCCCCCCAACACACACCCACCCTCCCTACACCCCACACTACATCTACAACCTTTACTCAACCCAAAGTCATATTTAAATTTGAGTAAAAACATATTAAAATAAGCCCAATCATTTACTTAAATTCATACCAAATGAAAACGGGCTCAAATGTTCACTCAAATTAAGGAAGACTCAAATTTTTACTCAAGTCTCCAATAGTTAGATTTCAACCGTCTTTTAAGATTGAACGGCCATATTTCACTCTCTTCTATGTATCTCTCTTCTCTATCTTTATTTTTTTTTTTTCAATTTCTTTGTAAGCCCATCAATAAATTCAAAAAACATGAATTTATCAAACTCAAATCATTGACCAAGAGCATCATTTATCAAGTTTAGAGTGGATGTTGTTCTTTTAAACTTTAAAAATCGAGTATTATGTATATTTTTAACTCAAAAAAAAAACACAAGAAGTATCATGACAAAAGATGAATGATATTCGCTTATTTTAGAAAAAGTTAAAATGTGATGAAAATAGGGAGGGAAGAAGATTTTATAGTGATGGGATAAGTAAAATGAAAAGGCGTTTTGGAGGGAAAGAAGTAGGAAAAAAGTGTTGAATGGAACTGTGGAGAATTTAAGAATTTTTGTTAAAAAAAATTGAGTGAAAATTTGAGTTTATCCATTGAAATGTTTTGTATCAAATTGAACTTTTTACTCAAATTTGAGTAAAAATTTGGATCATGGTTGGAGATAGCCGATTTCAAAGCTAATAATAAGCATTGGGTTTAACCAAAACAAATATAAAAAATTTCAAACAATGAACTCCACTAGAAACATTTTGCACGGGGAAATTGGGAAAGATTCATGTTAGAACATAATTTGTAAGCCAGTAAAAAACTAGTTCTGTGATTTGAGGATCTACTTCTGCCAAACATAATTGAATAGTACCTAACTAGCAACTACCTTGAAATCAACAATAGCTTGTATGGAATTGAAATGTTTTGGCCCTTCTGGGCAACCAGGAGTTATAGATTCCTGGGAACCAAGTTGCAAATAATAAGCTCCTCTAGAAATATTCTTTCAAGGGAAAACTGTGAATCAAGGTATATATTAATATACTTGGTAAGCCAGTAAAAAGCTAGCTCCGGGACTTTGGGGATTTAGTTCTTCCAAAAAGTATCTAACTAGCAACTGCCTTAAATCCAACAACAGTTTGTGTGGAATTAGAATATACTGGACAAACAAGAAGTAAAGGTTCACCCGAAACAAAAATAGAAATGACTTTTCCACAACTCACCCAGCACGGGGATCTCTTACGATTCGCTGAAGGCGTTTCACAGTCTCAACGTTGTGTGCAAAAACGTCTAGTCCTGAGTGTGTCAAAGTTGATACGGCATTTAAGTCACAGCGAAAATCAGAAGTCAAGCACTCAACCATAATCTCAGGATTAAGTCTCTGCCACGAGAGCAGAAAAGATGCAAATCAGAACTGTTGTCCGTATTCCAGTGACTTTAAATTTAGATGAATTGCCAATGATTGAAAACCAGAATATTTAACGAAATTGTAGAAATGCATATACCTTCATAGCTTTAACAGTTTCAGCAAAATGACCAGACCCACCATCAGGTAGATCATCTCGATCGACACTGGTTAGAACAATATAATCAACTCTGCAAAATAAAAACAAAGAAGTCGGCAATTACACTGCAACATGCAAGGCCCAATACATACAAGGATGCGAAGCTAACTTAAAATTCAACGGGAAGACGTGACAAGGAAAATTGCCCCATGTGTGCTGATCAACCATTTTAAATTGCTTGAGATTATTATTCTGAGTTCAAGGTATTCAAAATAGTGAGATATTTTGGATATCTCTTAAGTGGATAAAATAGAGAGACTACGTTTGATCCTCCCTTATTATGACAATGCAGAAAAAGGACGTCCCACTTTTAATTAAGAACATTTGGAAATTTAAAACCTTCTTCATTGTAGAACTTAGGTCAGATTTTTAATGACAAAAATTTTTTTTGTCTCATTAGTGCTCATAGTAGAACCTGGCATACTAGGAAGCACGAATACTTTTCACAGGGGTGTCGCTGCGGTATCGGACACATGTCCGATACAGACACGGCCGGACTCGTGTCCAACACAGCTAGAAGTGTCTTGAATGGTGAACTCAGGGGGACACGGCAAGGATACATCTAGGACACGGTAAAAAAAAATTATTAAAAAAAACAACTTTTAACTATTAAAAATATATTTTTTTTAATATATTTTTTGTTACGTAACTTATATACTATGAATGTTAATAGATGCAATGATATTTGATGAAAATAGTGGATATTTAATTTGATCTATTTCAATTTTAATTAAAAAAATAATATTTGCTAGGTCTTATTATTAATATTATTATAATATATGTTTTATTTTTAATATATTACAACTCTATTATTATTTAAAAAATATATTATATTATTTTAATAGTCGTATCCTTACCGTACCTGTGTCCCATATTTTTTAACTTTGTCGTATCCCCGTATCCGTATCATGTCGGATAAGACATCCGTGTCTATATCTGTGCTTCCTAGCTGGTATATATTTTAGTTATTATTGGCATTTATTATAGGAAATGAACAATAGTGTGTTGTGATGTAGTTTTGCAACAAAGAAAATGGTAGCATACGGATCTACTAGAGTTTTATTGTGGTTTTGGCATATGTAGTTGAACAACAAAACCTAGATGCTTATCATCTAGATGTTTATATGATGTCTTAATCTAGACTCGTACAAAAGGCTAAGGGGTACTAAATTCACTGAAATTGTGAGAAAAGCATTCGTTGCGCACTGCAGGTATTTAATTGTAAACTCATCCGCACAATTGGTGAATGTAGTTCAAGGCTTAAGATGGTTAGATGATGGGCCTTAGATTACTTTGCCGTAACAAGAGCTAGTGGTTTTCTATGTTTATTCCCTCTGATCTAGCATTGTGGTTGTCATTCCAGTCAAACTGGAGATCCTAAAATAGATTCTACTTTCTCCAAAAGGAAAGTGATTAGTTCTACTCTTGATAAAAGAAGAAAAGTATCATGATGTCCAAGTTCTGTAGTTTCCAAGATTAAGGGTAATCTTGAAAATTAATGGTGCAGCAAACAAAATACATTAACCATTGTAAACAACACTGACCAAAGAAGAAAGGCTTATCCCCACAGGAGTGTGCTTCCAATGTAAAGGCAACAAAAAGATTCTAAATTCCCAGCATTGCACCCAACCAATGCAGGGATCTAGCTGGTATATGAAAAAGGTAGCACATTACCGCTGAACATCTAGCTCTTCATTTTAATGTCCAAGACAACAGGCAAAGAACCCCCCTTCGCATTTACCATTGAAGGCACCAAGATTTTTAAGATAAATTGGTGCATATAACAGGTATTCAGCAGTGGATAGATAATGTCAAAACAATTTCAAAGATCAAATTTCAAACAATTGTGATAAAATAGAGATTTTTTGTGGGACCTTGCAGGAAGAATATTGATTGACGAACTAATATTTGAGAAGGGCACAACAAATTTGTAAATATTTGTAAATCAGGGATGAATCTAATAATAAAGGGGATTTTGAGTGGTTGCCCCTAGTACTAAATAAGGGGACTTTCATCATGTTTCTAAGTAATGGACATATAAAACTTCAACTTAGTGCTACTGTTGCAAGTTTTTACAATTGTTTTTGCAGGTGAAGGCACTTCACTATAAAGTCCTCATTTTAATTTCCTTTTAGGTTCTAATTTTTTGTTTCCATTTTGATCAGAACTTGAAACCGAGATGTCCATTTTTTTTGGTAGATAAATTCACTGAATGTCTTGAGAATTGCATAGTATATGTATTTAGCTAATAGTAAACAAAAGGAAGAAGCAATATCTAGGACATACCCCCAACTAGCAATAGCCTTAGCAGTATTCTCAGGTTCCATAGGATCAGGTGGGGCAGGGTTCCTGCTGGTTTTGACTGCACAAAATCTGCAGCCACGTGTGCAAGTATCCCCAAGAAGCATGATGGTGGCTGTGGCTATACCATCCCCACCTCCATTCCAGCACTGCCCCAAAAATAATGCAACCATATAAGAGTAAAAGCAAGCATAGAGCATAGGATAAACTTTGAGGCATATGGTGTTGAATGGTGTTATAATACTAGCAACAATCAAAAATTGTATCGAAACGGCCAAAAGGGCTGAAATTTTCTGTTCCTATAGACCGAAATTCTTCTGCTTTGATGGTGTTTCGGTATGTATTAGGAATGTTTCGGGAAAAAAAAATTAAAATTAAAATTTATTTTCATTTTTATTCTATTTCTGAAATATTTCTAAAATATTTTTGAAATAATTTATGTTTCCTATGTGGCCTAAATGTACCGAAATAAAATATTTATCCGTGAATATAAGCCGGGATACCTCTCCTATATTGGGGCATTGGGCTTCTTCGCAGACAGTGTTGAGATTCAAACGAGACAGAGATTCCTTGACCTCCTCATATCTGTGGCCTTGTGGCGCTTTCTGGCGCAGCCACTGGGGCTTCTTCACATTGGGATCTCTACCGGTGTACGGACCCATGCCTCCCGGATACGGATTTGAATTACCATTCGAGGCAGCTGATGATGATGAATAATTGTCATTCATGGGTAATTCAGGCTTCGATTCCACCTCTACCACCTTATCATTCTTTAACTCCAAAGATTCACACCTAATAGCAATTCTCGCATGCGATTTTGAAGAAGAGGATGAAGGAAAAGAGCAATTTTCGTAATTGGAAAAGTAAGGACGTGGATGAAGAAATGTCGAGATTGAAAAAGGAGAAGGAGAAGAGATTGATGTAGGCTTAGAAAGACATTGGTGAATCATTTTCAATAGAAACCAAAACAATGAAAATAACACACCAAAAGCAGACTCCGAGTGTGGTAAAAGAATTGAATTAGCCGTACGCGAAGGTATGAAGGAATTGTGTTATTGCAAATCACAATCGAATTTAGCCACCAGCTAACGAAATGTATCAGAATGAATCAATCCCTTAATCGAATTCAGCTTGACTTTGATCTTCTCCTCCTTTTTCCATTGATGAATAAGGCACAGGAAGGAGAAGAATGAGAGGATTATAAAAGTAACCAAACTGCCATATCATCCCAAATTTCCATTGATATCTCCGTCCCAAGTTTTAGTTCGTTGGAAGGTAGGTACAGTGTGTTTAGTGGGAAGGGAAGCAAAAAATTAAGAGGAAAATAACCCATAACTCCTCACTTTATATATAGGGTAAATAAGTCTTCTATTTTATAGTGTAAATTTTACTCAACATATATTTGATTTTATTGCACAAATATATAAAATATTTGACGATGATTTTAAATAGACTCATTCAATGACTACTAACACTACACAAATTCAATAAAATTGTTCACAAACCAAATATTGAACGAAAAACCAAATAAAAATATATTTTTTGAGAGACAGAGAGTTATGACGGAGAAAACTGTTTTCTATGTGATTTTATCGGTCGTCGAAGGCGGTGGTGGTGCAATGTCATGGTGTTAGAGATGGGCTTGATGACAGTGGTTTGAAGGAAGGTGGCGGTGCTTTGGCAGCGCTAGTTATGGAGACATCGATGTATTTGAGCGTTAATTAAGGGATAGTTGCTTAATAAATTCATTTAATTACTAGCGTAGGACCGGATTACTTGAATTAACTTAGATGATGTTAATCACTATGGTTAATTATTTAATTAATGGGGTGATAATTTTTTAAATTTTAATCAACTACAAATTTTATTATCTGAATTATATAAATGACATAATTAAAAAATATCAGCCTTAAATGAGGGGAAATTTTTGTTCTTATTTTGGGGTATACTAATACTAGGGCATTTTCTTTTGTAACTTCAACTTTGATTGTTAGTCTCCCTAACGTCCGTCAATCATAAAGGGTCAAGCTATTATTAGTGTTTAAGTGTCAAGGATCTTACTTTAATTTTTAAAATGCGAGGGGTGTTCATGTAATAAGATCAAATGTCACAAGTATGAGTAAAATTTATCCTATTTTATTTCATGTTATATCTATACTGTACCACTAAACACACATCTCAAAAAATGTCTATATTTATCTAAGACTAATGCTATTTGATTTAAAAATTTGACATAATTTGTTAATTTAATGATATAACTTCATTAAAATTATTGGATCAACACTAAGTTTTAATGTTTGATGGCTCCACAATTAATTCAAATGTCATAATAAATTAAATTAATAAATTAGACCAATAAATTAGATCTCAATAAGATTTCTCTCTACAAATCACAAAAATAATTTAAATCAATCCAAAATCAATTTAACGACACACAATCACTCCATCCAAAAAAAATTTCCGCCCATCAGTTTCTTTTTACCCCATTCTAGCCGCCAATCACACCTCTCATCCCTCGTCAATCTCTCTCTCTTTCTCTCTCATGCCCTGATACTAATAGTGTGTTTGATTAGGTAGATAAAAAATAAAAGTGATACATTTTCTATAATTCAAGAAAAGAATCATTTATTTCCTCTTTTGTATTGATAGGAGGAATGAAAAGTATGAAATATATATATATATTTTTTTTGTGGTAGGATGAAAAAGTAAGATACATATTTTATTACTATATCTATATATAAATTTAATATATATATATATATATATATATATATATATATATATATAATATGTAATAAATAAATATGCTATCTACATAATAAAACAAAAAAGAAATTAAATTTTATCCTCAATATATTTTCCCGCCCATCACACTATCCCACTCAACGGTCATGCCCGACTCACACAGCCCCCAACGACATGCATGCCTGACACCCCCCCCCTTCCAAACTCTATTAACCCCCGTCTCTTTATGCTAACCCCCTCCCTCTCTCTCACACACGTACACACAAATAACACACATTCTTTCTTCTTTATCTCTTTCTCTATTTCTTCTTTTTCACCCATTTCTCTCATCTCTCTGAGTAGATCAAGCAACTCCAGCGACCCTCTCACCCTCCAAGGTTAGTCTACTTCTATCACCCTCTTCTCTTTCTCTTCTCAATTGTTCATCCACAAAAAAAATACACCATACACCATGCACCACTCACACACCCAGAACGCATGCACACACACCTAGCACACCCTCTCCCCCCCCCCCCCCAAAACACTCTGTTTTCCTACCGACCCACTCACAGATATATGGTGGGTAAGTATGGATAGCAAAGAAAGTATGGTGGATGGAAAATGAACTAAGTGGTGTGTACAATGAAGGATGGTTTGGTGGAAATGATTTTATTCTCTTTTAGAAATTGGTGATTTGAAATTGTGTAGTACATAATGAAGGATGGTTTGGTGGAATACATAACCCCAAGCCTTCTACACAACCCCTACCCCTATGCGCAAACCACCCATACCCACCAAAACCCCAATCTCCCTAACCCGTCTCACTCTCTCACTCTATCTTTAGGTTTCAACCCATCACCAAACCCTCAACCAGCGCCCCCTCCAACAGCACCAACACAAACCTCAAACCCCAAATCCTTAATCCCCAAACGTAACACCAACAGAATAGCCACTGTTAGAGTCATGTCGTCGGCTCTCATTGCCTCTTCTCTTAACTCTTCATAGTCCCTCCCTCTCTTTGTGCCCCTTCTTTGTCATATCTCCTTCACTCTATCTCTGTAGTCTATGTCTATGTGTGTGTGTGTGTATAGTATCGCCATCAGAGTTGTGACTCCCCAAAATTCGGGTCTTTTCTCAACCTTTGATCACACATCAACCCGTGGAAGTATTCGTGAATGTCGCAAAACTGGACACCATGTCATTTCATTTTCTTTACCAGGATCGTAACCAACACAAAGTTTGGGTAGAGTCTTTCTTGTACTAGAGCACTGCCAAACGTATAACATGTGCATATGTCAACTACTTGACCAATCCAAGGTCTATCCTTATCAATTATGACTTAATATTTAACCAATTACATCACATAGACATGAAGGCTCAAGATTTGAAGGCTTGGTAGAGTTATATTTAAATTTTAAAAAATTTTGGAGGAGGAACGGAACCTCGTACACATGATATTGGTACCTGAGTCTTTTTTCTGCCAAATCTTTTTATTTGCCAAGTACCGGTACCTGAGTCCAATGTCTACTAGGTACCAGTACCTATATGTCATGGTACTGATACCTGAACCCACTGTTCATCGAGGTACTAGTACATAAATCATTGGTATTGGTACCTAAGACCACTGGAATTCAAGTACTGGTACTCGTCAGCCTAGATACCAGTATCTAGGCCATCCAACATCGTAGTACTAATGTTTAATCACTTAGGTACTGGTAGTTGGGCCCAAATTTTTCCAATCTTTAACTTTTAACCATCCAATCTCACATAGCATTCAATTATACTCAAATACAGTCCATGAGAGTTCATTACATGTCCTTTTAATACAATTTACAAGTTCAAAATCAATTACACAATTGTTTTACAAAATTGTAATTTAAAGTCATATCTCGGTTTCTTCATCAACAAGGACCCAAGTGAGGGCCGTCCACCAGTGTTTGTCCCACACTTGAAATATTGTCCTTATAAAAGGTGAGTCACGCTTAATAGGGTATCTCATAAAGAGGCTACCTCCTAATCTAGATACATATGAAATGTTCACATGCAATTCAACAATTAATCAAGTATTCATTCAAGAATATGCAATTCTTAATGGATTTCACAATGTCATGACATGTCATGAGGTGATACTCACACATGCAATGCAACCTGAGCCCTCCATCGGCTCGCATAACACATGCAATGTCATGCATATGAATCTATACATTCCAAGCTCCTGTCATTAATGTTGCACATCCAATGACCATTTTACAAAATCCTAGATCTTTCTTAAGGTGGGATTTATGGACTTCCACTAACGGGCACCCAACCGACACGTCATCTATAGATTTCCACCAACGGCTCTGTGTACGTCAACACACTTTATGGACTCAATACCAACAGAATGCGTATCCCAAATCACTAGGTCTTTCACCCGAGGGAGAATCTACCCTTTCTTGCTAATCCCAACCTTTGTTTCAATGCAACCCATGCAACTCAATCGAACCTAAGTCCAACTTTTCCCAGCCCACACATCAACCCACCAAGGATGGTGTTTGATCAAATCACACACACGCACCCACACTTATGTCACACGCCCATGAATTTGATGTTTCTTGTACTTATGCAAATGTGATGTACAATTGTAATTAAAATGTCATGTTCAACATATCATGAGCATATAATGAACATGTTCAATCTCTATCAACAATATTTAATTTCATCAATTGTCAATGATATCATAAGCATATAATTACAATCTACATTCTCACCAAGCACGTTATAACATTTTCATTCAAATAACATACTTAAATAATCCAAGACATTTTATCAAACACCTACATGGCACAAAAATTATGTAAACACATAACATGCTCAATTCATCACATTTGTCATGAAATTACAAACAAGCAATTTCAACAAACCCAAGTCAAATAAAAATTGATTCAACATGTTTCTATACCCATTTTTCACTCTAATGCACTAGGAGTATATTAAAAAAGAGATTTCATCTCTAATCATGCTACCTATTTCATATGCAACCCTGGGTTGAAAATAAACTTAGTTAAGAAAAGAACTCTTACCTCTTGAAAAGTAATGTTGCATAGGAGGAGTCCCAAATCAAGGCTCAAAACCTTGATTCCAACAATCCTATCTTTGAGATCTTGGTAAAACCCGCAATCTTTGGTACGTGCTTGTACCTCATGTCGCGTAGAACACTTTTTATTCTTGGCCTGAAGGACGGATA